TGAACCAAGCTTAACTTAGCTTCTGCGCCGAAAAAATGTAATTTGAAAATAAAACAAAGCAGGTCATAACCTTTCGCGTTGCTTGACGATTGACGAAAGGCACATTCATGACGTTTAGATAACTTACGGGAGGATAATTCTTTCTACGGAAGTGAAATTATTTAAGTGAACAAATTATTTACCTCGTTACTTTTAAGGAAAACTTTCAGCGCTCTAATTTTTTTTTTTTTTTTTTTGTACTTAGCTTTCATTTTTACAATGCTTTATGGAAAATATAAAGAAATTAAAAGATAAGACTGTTAATAGTGAGATTAAATTTCATAAGAAAAAGGTATCTAATTAATTTAGGTACCTTTCTTATGAAATTTTATCAGAAGTGTACATAAAATACTATAATTTTATGTACATTTATTACATTTTACTGTGTTATTTGTATTTCCATTCATTTTATTATTAATTTTGATATTTCATTTATGGAAAAATGTCATAACTGGAGATTAATATAAAAATAAGATCATATAAATTAAAGTTTAGCAGTAGTTATATTTCATAAGATGATACTGTTACTTGTAGGTACCCTTCTCAGTTGAAATTGAAAACTCAAATTAACTTCTCCATACGTGTTTTTCAAAAAAGTAAAAGGCTTAACAGCGGAGAACAATGCTGAACTCAAATAATGCAACTAAATTGTATTCTGGTTGGTCTTCCGTATTTGATAATTACTGTCCGACTATAAACACCAAAATCACATTTCTTAATTACCATGGCTAATCTGATTGGTCCAAATTATACAATTTTCAAAGCGCTAGACAATGACAATCTCACACGGACATTTTGAAAGGTTGATGTTTTTAACTAATGTTAAAATATTTTTAAAAATTCAATTTAAAATTTTTTTAAAAATCTTTTTAGAATTAAAGAAATAAGAAATAATTGTATTAAAAATTCAATTTTCATTGAAAAAATTTTTTGCTTTCAGAAAATATTGTCCATATTCATAAAAACAAATTAAAATAAATAAAAGCATTTGAAACTAAATAAAATATTTGTTTTATTGAGTTTTGTATATTACAATTCACAGCTGATTTTCAGACGTTGGCAAAAAAAAAAAACAAAAAAAAAAAAACATGATTTGCATTCTTCAAAGCCTTGTGCTTTTAATCACTAAAACCGATGGTCTCGAATTTCTAGAGTTTTTCATAAAATTAGTTATGGGGGTGTTAATAAATATAAAAAAAAATATTTCTGCCATGACTTTAATAAAAAAAAAACAACATATTTATAATAATTTCGATCATCTGTGAATAGTTTCTGAAAGTTTCATTAACATCTGACAATTATTTTTTATTTTTGCAAGATTTTCCAAATTAATGTGTGTAAATACAAAAAAAAGCAGCTAAAAATTATCTATGTTATTTACTACCCTTGTTGCGACAAAGAGAAACAAGGTTTTTTTAAATCAAAATTTAGAATATTCTAAAAAGATGGAAAAATTTTAAAAATAATTAAAAAAAATTTAGTCTATCCTCTTCATAAAAACATAAGCATTTTGACGATAAAATTTTGTTTTCATAATCTTTGGCGTCTTTTTCATCAGACTATGCTCTATGTTTTAGCGATTCTGTGGAGTGGCTTAGGTTAATTACATTTTTTCGGCGCAGAAGCTAAGTTAAGCTTGGTTCAAAATATTTTAAATAAACAGTATAATTTCTGTTTTTATTAAAATCAGTTTTGAAAAAATGATAATTGATTTTTAAAAGAATATCAAAGTCAGATTTTAATCTTTTTTATCAAATCGAAAAAATGATGATTGAAAATGATTGATTATCTGTCCTTTTTTTGACCAAAAAAACAATATTTTTAACGAAAATTTCAGATGTGCTAGGAACGATTAAAAAATGTAAAAAATACCCCTAAAATACTTTTGATCTTTCCTCTTTAATAATATGAACATTAGACGATAAAATTTTTTGTTTTCGTCAAGTTCGGCTTTTTTTCATCATGCTATGCTCTTTTTGTTTACATTTTCGTTGGGTGAGTTGTCCCCTTTCATTCTCATGATGTGTCTTAATCGTGTTTTTCATTGATTTTGTTAAAAACAATTTTGTTTTTCCCATTTTCGGCACTGTTAGAACCATCACAAGGTAATTTTATGTAGTCCTGTGAAGTTTTGTTGAAATCGGCTAAAAAATGTAGGAAATTCGATCTAATATATAAACGTTACAGACACACACACACACAATCTGCGTTTTATAATAAGTAAGATAATGGCTATCAGTAGCCAAACACTTTCCAAAATACAAATTGCACCAACAGAAGATTATGGTGAGTGTTTGCTGGTCTACCATTGGCATTACACCTTTCTGGAATTTAACCAGAACATCAAAGTCAAAGTTTGCTGCCAGCAACTGGATGAAATGTACATCCAGTTAAGCAAAATGCAACCGGCTCTGGTTAATCAATGAGGTCCAATTCTGCTTCATGACAATGCTTGGCCACATGTTAACAAGATAACACTGCAGAAGCTGACCAACTTGGTATACAAGACTTTACTACATCCACCATATTCCCCCCTGATCTCTCACCGACTACGTCTTTTTCAAGCATCATGGCAATCCTTTTGAGCCAAAAGACATTCCACTGCAAAGAAGATGCAAAAACTGCATTCAAAGATTTCTTAGCGTCCAAACCTTTACAGTTTTATTATAAAGGCCTAAATAACCTTGTAACTCGATGGCAGAAATGTATAGGTGTTCAGGGTTCCTATTTTGACATTAATTTAAGTATTTGATTCTAAAACTGGACAATATTTTTCAAACAACAATGTTTAACCTTGGTACCTGCAAATAAAAGAGATTTTCAAAAGGGTGATTTTTCTGTTGACACCACTATTACTATATACTAACAACATGCCCTCAGACATGTTTATTTGCAAGATTATAAAAACATGCAAACCAAGTTCAACATGATGTTTATTATTTATCATTTTATAAAGAGATACATTAAAAAAATCCTTTTAAAAATTTATAAAAAATTCCAAAATCTACAAAATATGTGAAGAATGCAATTTTTCTTATTTACCAATTCATAAATAAAAAACTATGAAAACAAGTTTTTTTTTATTCATAATTTTATAAAAATATCTATGAACTATCAAATATGAAAACTTAAATAAACATGATTTTTCTGGACATACATTTTCTTCTCAAATTATTTTATATCCCAGATGACTTTTTGTTTTAATTTTCCATTTTTTTTTTAATAATTGTGATCTAGGATAAAGAATGCCTAACTAATAGAAATCTTAGGCATGGAACTTCAGCAATTAGAGATTGCCCGCCCACTCCACTTCCTATTCATTTTTGAAAAATATTTCAATCTAATATTTTTTAAAAATGCTTAGAAAATCTACCAATAAATTATTTATTGTCAGCCAAGTGCTGACTGATGAAATTTTAAATGAAGAGTGGACACAAAACACCTTGACTAAAGTAATTGGTAAAGCTGGTGAATAGTGTTCTTTAGAATGGTCAGTTACCAATTGATTCAAACTTTATAAAATGGTAAATAAGCATTTCCTTATAGTTGGTTCACATATTTTTGTAATTTAATAAATTTTTATAAATAAAAAAAAATTCATATTTATTTCTTTATAAATTGGTAAATGATAAACATTGCATAGTTGGTTTGCATTTTTAGAATGTTGTAATTATAAAATAATTCTTGTAAATAAACAGTGTATAATTTTTTTGTTGAAAATTCTCAAGAACAAAGAAAATGTATAAATTCACTTTCATATGTTTGATTTTATTAAAATTCTAATCGTTGCTTTTTAAAACAGTAAACATTATTGAGGAGTGAAGGTAGTTAAAATAATAGTAGTGTCAAAGGAAAAACTGTCCTTTGATACACTGTTTTTTTGCAGATGCAAAGGTTGAACTTTGCCTTCCAAACAGCCTAATATTTTATTTTTCTAATATTAGTTTTCATCAAATGATTAAAGTCAGTTTTATAATTTGGACACCATTTTTTTAAAAATAGTTTTCCACAATAGGAACATAATTATATATATCAAATTTCAACATAGTTTTGATAAAAGAGCAGCAGCAGTGAAGGCTGCTTTTAGGTTAAAATTTGATAGCATTCCATTGAGTGAAGTAAACTTTGTAAAACAAAAGCTGAATTGATTTGAATCTCAAAGAAGGTGAAAGATAATTTTTGCTTGATAATAATTAACTTTCTTTAGAAGTTGGAGATCATGATAATAAAACTTAATCTCCTATTCAACAAAACACATTGTACAAGGTTGAAAACATATATTGACCTCAATAAAGTAAGAAGCCACATTGATTATACTAAGATTAATGAAAATTTCCAAGTAGATCATTAAAAGATGAAAATTAGATTTTTTGACTCACAAAATATCTGAAAGTTGAGAAAATGAAAAATGAAAATACAGCAAGAAATGTCATGCAAAATGATTTTTTGCCAAAGAAAAATTAACATATAAATAAATCTGAAACTAGTAAAATGAGTCATTTTTTAAAATATTGAATAATCTTTCATTAAAGTATGAACTACAGATAGCCTGTTTACAAGTAACTGAGAACATATTTTGAAAAAAAAAAAAACATGCAAGTTAAATTAATATTGTGGTATTTGACAGGGTTCCTAAGATTATTATTTTAATAGGGATAGTTTTAAATACTTTTGTAATTTTAACAAGAGTTATTCTCATTTCAGTAATTCATACAACTCATGAAATTATTGTATAATTTTATTTTGTATAATTAATGATCAGAAGAGGCAAAAGGCCTCAAAGTAATGAAAGTATCAATGTTACAAAAAACATTAAATGTGGTAACAACTGTGCCTTGGTGATTCAATAGGGAAAATGGATTACCTTGAGTAAATTTTAAATGCTTCATGTTTGCTGCAGCCTATAGTAAGAGAAAAATTCAAGTGAATATTAAAAATATCAAGAGATTGAAATTATTTACCTCATAACTTAAATAATGTCTGTGCTGAGAGCTACTTATTTTGTTTTCTTTCTTGTCATCATCAATAGTTGGTAACTGCTGTGGTTGCTGCTGCAGTTTCTCCTGATAAAGCCAAATGTAGAACAAAGAATATTTTACAACATACCACAATAATGTTTTGTTTTGAAACAAATTTTCATTGTGACTAATCTATTTCTAAATAGAGTCAAAACATGCTTACTAATAAGAGATTATGAATAATTATTCTTTATGTTGACATTTTATTAAAATCTATGGTTTATGCTTGACATAATATTTTACATCAGAAAGCCTTCCCAAAATTAAAATTTCCCAAATTCTTAAATAATACATCGGTAGTCCAAAAGTTGTTTTTGTAGTAACCATATTCAAAATTTTGATTGTATTGTCACAGTTGTCATATCAGCATGCTTTAAAGGATTTTGTCAATTGATCAATGATTGAAGATGGAAGAAAATAAGCAACATTTCAGCATATTATACATTTTTATTTTAAATAAGTACAACTGAAACATAAAATGAGATTTTTTCCACATAATAGTGGTTTGCAACGTGTTGTAGTATAGGGTAGGGTTTGATAAAATGGCAAAAGAAAAAGAGGCCTGAATAAGAGATGACCAAATGACTTGGTCTAAATGCAAATGTTTTATTTCTCAATGTCAAAAGCTAGAAGCATATTTTTAGGGGGTTAGTTTCATATGTTAGTAATGTTAGTAGCAACTATATCTACATAGGATAGCTTCATATGTTAATATCTAAAAATTCCTCCATACTAATTAAAACTAAATTTATTGTTTAGGGATGGTCTGCGGTGGTATGTCATTTAATAATTTTCTTTTATTTATTTTGTATCATGTATTATAAATGCAGTCTTTTAGGGGGCATCACTTTAGGAGATAGAATCTTTCAGGTTGGGGTGTTTTGGTTTCAGTTGTATCAAAATTCTCTTGGGACCCACTTGTTGGCAACTACTTCCTCCACTAGTCACTTAACTACCATGAAGTGGCATCTCCAGTGTTGTGGGCTTATTGTCAAGCGATGGTCATTGTACTGCTTCAGTTGTTTCTGTCAGCTCCAACACAGATGCTTTTGGTGAAAGGACTGCTGGATCTGGTCTATGCAGTGCTTCCACACCATGTTCTCAGCTACCTTAATTAAGTAGTTCAATGGATCCAGCTGCTTGAATACTGTGCTCTCTTTCCATTTATACCTCCCTCTATAATCCCTTGTGAGGACACACTGTCCAACTGATAAATCACATTGCTTGCCATTGTTACCCACCATGGAGAAAAGTTTGTCCATGACCCTGTGTTCAACATTTGGTTTCATTACATCGAGTCTGCACTGTAGTTGTATGAGATGTATTTCTGTACATCAGTAGAAGGTTTACCAACTTTTTCTCTGGTGGTATACTCTGGCCCATTGTCTTGAAGCTGTGTTTTAATGTTTGTACAAATCTCTCAGCCAAGCTGTTTGTGGCTGCATGAAATGGGGCCAAGCAAATGTGTCTGATTCTATTCTCCCCCATGAATGTTGCAAACTCTTCTGATGTAAACTGTGGACCATTGTCTGAAACCAATTGCAACGGTATTCCATGGCAAGTAAATATTTCTCGCATCAGCTGTATTGTATATGTGGCCGTAGTGCTCTTTATAATAGATGCATCATGCCAGTTTGAATGGGTATCAACCATGATGAAAAATAGGAGTCCTTGAAATAGCCCAGCAAAATCTACATGGATGCATTCCCATGGTGAACTTTGCCATTCACAAGGATTTAAATAGGAATGCTGGGGCATATTTACATTTGTTTAGCATCTTCACACTCCTTGGTCAATAGTTTGATATCTGATCAAGGGCTACCACACAGCTTTGAGACAGTGCCTTTATTTTCACTATTACCAGGTGTCATTCATGCAGTACCTTCAGCACTCGTTCCTGTAGGGTTGAGTGATTATTACCCTCATTCCCCAGGTTAGTACTTCATGTGAGCTTGATAGTTCATACCTTTTTGTGAAGTAAGGTTGACATTCCTTATCCTTTTGCACTTTCTCCAGGACAAGTGAAAGGGATGGATCACGTCTTGTTGTTGTCTTGATTTTGCCACATGCAACAGGTAGCTACTCCAGTTGTGAAATAAGCTGGTAGTGTCCATCTCCTCTTCATTTGTCAGCTGTTTGCCTTTGAGTGGCAACCTGGATAATCCATCCACAGTTGAATGTAGTTTTATGCTTTGGTACATAATATCATAGTTGTACCCTGAAAGGAAAATTGCATATCTCTGTAGCCATGCTGCTGTCATAACAGGTATTCCCTTTTGTGGATGCAAGATAGAGATTAGGAGTTTGTGGTCAGTGATGAGGGTAAACTTGTGTCCATATAGGTAGTGATGGAAGTGTTTTACTACCCAAATGAGGGCCAATGCCCCTTTGTCAATCTGAGAGTAATTACATTCTAGTTTAGTGAGTGATCTTGATGCAAAAGCTATGAGCCATTCAATACTGTCCTCCATGGTGTGAGCTAGCACAGCACCCATCTGATACTTGCTACTTGAATTGGTTTCTCAGGGTCATAATGTGTCAGTAATTTGTCAGTAATGTGTCAGTGTTTGATGTAATCAATTCCTTAGCATGTAGGAATGCTTTTTCACATTGTGGTGACTAATCCCATGTGTGGCCCTTCTGAAACAACTGATGTAGGGGGTACAGTTTAGTGACTGGATTGGGCAAGAACTGGTGGTAGTAATTTACTGTTCCCAGGAAGATCTGGAGCTGTTGTATATTGCCAGGCTGTGGGTGCTTCTCAAATGGCCTGTTCTTTGTCAGGAGACTTTTGTAGGCCAAGAATGGATATTTCATGTCTGCAATAGGTAATCTTGTCCATGAAGAATTCACATTTATCCAAGCTGGCTTTCAGGTTATATTCTTTGAGCCGCTTCAGCACCGATTCTACACTGCGAGGTGTTCTTCATCGTCTGTCTCTGTGATGATCGTGTTGACAATTGTGCACTTTGTTTTGGGCATATCTGCTAGTATCTGTCCATTGTGCGCTGCCATATTGCTGGGCTTGATGCAATACTAAATGGTAAGTGGTTTTGCAGGGTTAAATACCACTTGGATGTTTCTTTCATTTCCAGATATGCCTGCTGCAAGTCAATCTTTGTAAACTGTTTACCACCTGCCAATTTTGTGGATATGTCTTCAATTTTTGGCAAGGGGTATTGGTCTACTCTCAGATATAGGTTCATAGTGGTTTTATAGTCTCCACAAATCCAGACTGCTCTTGACGATTATACTACTGGTATGACTGGGGAAGCCCACTCGCTTGTTGTTACTTTTGTCAGGATTCCTCTTTTTTCCAATTGACCTGGCTTTTTATGAATACTGGTTTGATGTTATCTTTCAGATTTAGCTTAGCTTTGACTCCTTTTAGGGTCTTTAGTTCCTCAGTAAAAACTTCACTATACTTTGAAAGGTGTCTTAGCTTGACTTTGCATTGTCTCCTTTAGTGGTGTTCACTGCATCCTCTGTATTTCATCCCAGTTTAATTTTATATAGTGTAGCCACTCTCTACCAAAGCGTGCTGGACCCTCTGAATCCATGACATACAACTCCAATTTGTTCACTTTTGTCCCCTGATGTTTCACCAAGACCCAAATTTGACCTCTATAGAACGTCTGTTTCCCTGTGTGGCAAATGAGAGAACTTTTTCTCATAAATTCTCAGCAGTACTATTAAGACTTCTGACCCTGTGCTCAACTACATGATAGGTGCAATCTATATTACCCTCCCCATCAGTTTTTCTCATGTAATCAATATTAATGTGTGAGACTAGAAAATCCTCTTCATCACTACTGCCTTGTCGGGATATGCTACACTGACTTCTGACTATGTCTACTACATTTATACAGAGGTTTATTTTTATGAGTATTTAAGGACTTACTTGTCTTGTTCCTGCATATCTTCTCTGGGTGAACTTTTTTTAAAGCAAAACCTGCATGTGGCTTCCTCAAATCGTCATATTGTTGGCTTATGTGGTCCTCCACAACAGTAATATGGAGTGTCAGTGGCCATTTTTTTGGATAGCTTACCCATGTACTTCTTTGCCTTGAGTTGATGGAGATCTTGTGGCCTTTGTTTTAACACACAAGCATCTCTTTCTGCCATTTCCATGGATACAGCTATTCACATATGTTCAATTATTCTTGGACAGCAACTTTTTTGAATCTGTTCCAATTTTATTCCACATACAAATAAATGTATTGTTGCAGTTGTTGCTAAACTTGCAGGTTTGCGATAGTGTTGAAAAAACAATATCAGATTATGACTAAATGTTGCAAAATGTTAGAAATTTTAAGTATAACAGAGTGAACATTGTAAAATATTCAAAATGTTGAGGAAGAAAAGAAATAAACTTTAAGGGAATATTTTAGCCGGTTGGAACACCCAACAATCTGATAAGGAACAAAAAATGCCAGACATTAACAAGCTAACAGGGATATGAAAAGAAAAACAACACCATGTGTTTACCTGGTTGCTGGGGTTTCAAATTTTAGTCATGCACTGATGCCTTTTAGTGCTGTGGCCAATGCCTGTTAACAATTTTGGAGTTTGGAGTGTGTTGCTTCAAACTGGTAGCTGAATAATGTTAGTGAATTCTTAGCCAAGAAGTAAAACATGTCAAAAAAAGAAATAGAGATCAAGCTAAGACCAGTAGTTCTATAAAGAGCTTCACACTGTGAAGGGAAGTCAATGCAATGTTGGGTTAATGTTGATACTCCCAATATTAAAGAAAAAGATCCCCTCAAGGTGAAGATAAAATGAATATAAATTTCTAAGGAAGACAAGTGTTGAGGTATTTCAACACACAGGAAAAAAAGAAAAGAAAGATAATTGTAGTCTTTTCTCTAAAAAAAGGACTACTGTAGCAGCATTTGACAAAGGGTGGTTGAACAAATTAAATCTTTTTTTCTACTTGTAGAAAAAACTTTAAATAAGATACTGAAAAACTAAGTGCAGACAGGTAAAAAAAAAAATAATTAGTTGAATAAGTCCTGGAAGCAATACTTTTCCAAGGTCTGCTCTGAGTTGGAAGAAAAGATAAATCCCTTTTTTTTTTTTTTGGTTACAAAAAGTCTTTGGTAATCTGAACTATGCAGGAATTTTGGGATTTTAAATCTGACTGTTATGGGAAGGGGAAGATAGAAAAACTATAATGACAACTATTAGCATTTGAACCAAAACTCAGTGCAGAGAGAAAGGAATTATAACGAATTCTTACTTGTAACTTTGCAGTGGCAATCATTTGTGTCAAATTGCAACAACAAAAAAAACACTACATGTTGTCTACAAGTAATTGTCCTTATAGAAGTAACAGTAGAAAATAAAGAGTTAGGATTCTTGTTAACAGTTTCGGTAACACATTCAGTCAGCTTAGAAAGAGAGAGCAAGGTAGAAGAAAAAAGGAAGAAAATACAGCCTTTATCCTTTGATACATCTCTCTTTGATGACATACAAATTTTGACTCTCTGTCAATAAGATGGGGTTGCGTGGAACAGAGAGTATTTAACAACCTCACTCATCTTGATTGAACTAGCACTTCCAAATCATCACTGTTCATCCACATTAATAGTCCCTTGCCCACATCAGCATTCAGGAGAGAATTAGGTATTAATGTTTTCAACTCCATGTCTTTTAAACTATTAGAATTTCAAAATAATCAACCTCACCTCTGCCTATTGTTTTGTACAGGCCTGTGTTTTTACAGTCCTAATAGTTCCTTCCCAAGCACCCCCATACCAGGCTGAGTAAAGGACAAATCTCTCCTTGTATTCATCTGTTAGCATCCCCTTGTTCAGTATCTTTGATGCTGCAATGAATGTTTTTGCATTATTGGAGTAGAGATGTGAGGGAACTCTGTAGGTGTCCATGAATCATTCCAATCTAGTTTTTGTTTCCAAAGTTCTCTTAGTATATGGTTTCTTACCATTACAGGCAGGTAAAGGGATAAGGAGTCAAAGATTTTTGGAAGCTTTAGAAAGTATCTCTCTCTTTGTTGATACCTCAACATTACATTATATGGGGAGAGATCTTCATGGAGTTGTATCTGTACCCTAATTCTTTCTCCCATCCTGATTTGAATCTGAACAAGTTTCCCTCTGCTTTCATTATTTCTCTTAACTCAACACAGTTTGAATTACAGGACTGTAACTCAAAGTTATCCTCCTGCAGGTGCTCCTATACTGATGTGCATAAACATGACAGGGTGATAATATTATTACAAGTTTTTATCAAATTATCCACATAAAAATTTGAATTTAATGTAGGGTGCATTCATCCAAGAGGAACCTGTTGGCATGAAATTTCAGGACATAGTTTAGTTTAAAAGGGCTAGCATTGAAACCAAATATAATGGTTGAATATCTGTAACAATGTAGATTTTCACCCTTCTTTAGGAAAAAAGCAACACTAGTTTTGGTCCTCCTCAGAAGACAGATGAATCATAAGGAAAGCCTTCCTTATGTCGGCCAACAAGACATATTTGTTGGTACGAAAATGAATTAGAAGGTTCAACATGGCACCCATCAGGTTGACTCTGGATATGCTGCCTCATTGAAAGAGATGGTAGAAAAACCATAATCGTAGCTATTATCCTGAAACTCTTTTCATCGTAGGTTTCCATATTTCTGATGTGTCCAGCTATTTTGTTTGTTTGTGCTTCATGAATGGACTATTCTGTTAGCATAATTGTTCTCTGTGTGTGAAATTAGCAATCTTTGTTGCCAGTTGTATATTGGGTGGGGTCTGGAAAAAGAGGCCTGAATAAGAAATGACTGAATGACTTGGTGGTCTATTCAACTACTTTATTTCCCAATGTCAAAAGGTAGCAGCATATTTTTAGGGGGCTCGTTTCATATGTTAGTGAGCAGTGATGCTACAGGTTCAGGTACTGACTTACTGGACTTTATCTAATTATTTTGGTTTTAAAACAAATTTTGATAGGTTATAAAACGTGGATATTTACAATAGCATAGAAAGCAAGAGGTCATAGGGAAAGCAAAATGAACCATCATTGTATCAAAAGCTGGTTTTCATCCAAATGAAATTATTTCCTTTCCAATAAAAGTATATGGATGAAATTTCAGGCAAACTCTTAGTCTTACAAATCAAAAAGTAATGCTAAATACACACATTATATTGTGATATGACAACAGCAGGCACTATCCATTATGTATTATAGTATAATTCTAAAGAATAGAAAATAAAGAGAACTTGATTAATTCATTAAAAATAGAGTTTTTAGAATTGAACTGTATGACACAAACTACTGTTTATTACTTTTTTCTTTAAATGTTTATTAAAAAATATTAAAATAATACTGAAACTGAAGAAAAAGTTTCTCTTACCATTATTGTATTGTAGGCATAATTAATTTTAGCAAATTTTTCAGAATTTACAGTTTCATGGTTAGCATCTGGATGATATTTTCTGGCAAATTTTATATAGGATTCTTTCACTTCTTGAACAGAACTGTCCGGAGTCACATTCAGAATTGTATAACATTCCATTGGTACAGGTTCTGTAAAATATTTTGCTGAAGTTCTGCTACTGGCCTAAGAAAAAAAAAGTCAAATAAAATTTCAGGACCCTTTAAGATATAAAGGTCTTTAAAGTTATTCTGTTATTTTAATGTTGTTAACTGACTACTTAATTTTCTTTTCAAATGGATTTAATAGCTTTATAGAATTTTATAGTATGATTAATGAAAATAATAAAAGCATAATTTATAATGAAATGCAATTTTATTTCTGCTTGGAATTCGCATATGTTTTAAACTTATAGACTTATGACTAAAAATTTCAGATACAGTATATCTGTAAAAGTACACTATGAATAAAGATAAAAGGAAAACTTAGCGATGCGGTTTCATCCTCTGAGAGACTTTATCAAGGCAAATGCAAGGATTTTATTTTGTGACAAGTATTTATATACAGGAGCAAAAATATTATTGGTTTTTTCAAAATTTTTTGGCATAGGAGTGCTCATGAATATCCATCAAGTTAGTGGAAATATCAAGCAAGTTCATGGATGCAAGATATTATAATTCAATGCCTAATAAATGAAAGCGTGTAAGATATTTTTTTTTAATATGTATATATTTGTAAATTATTTTAGATTAGGATTGATTTATATGTTTTGAATAACATGAGGTTATGGATTTAACTGTTTTCTTTTAGTTTTTGTATTTTTGTGGTCATGTATGTTGGCTTGGGAATAGAGTAATTATTTCAGGAAAGGAGATAATGAGAATAATCCAGGATGCAGATATATATTTTGATAAAGATATGTTGATTTTAAAAATCTTTCAAACTTCATTTAATTATTGGATTTTAATAAAACTTATGGCATTTATATAAAAGAGAAATATTTTTGAAAGCAGTTTCTCTTCAAAATTATAAGGAAAATATTTTTGTGCAATTACTCCCCATTTTTGAATTTGATGATTTTTCAATTGTACCAATTGTTTCAAGGTGTATCAAACTGAGGTATGTTAGCCCTTCAAAAATAAATACTGAAACAAAAAAAAAAATGTAAAATCAAAACTCAGAAGAAAGTCAATGTGGATACCTTATTCTGAAATTAAAAAAAAAATATGGCCCTTTTTGAACATTTTTTTTAAAATTAATATTCTAATTTTATTATCTGTAACAGTAAGATTTTTTCTATAATTTTCTATAATATCAATTTAATAATGTGATATTTTTAAGTAGGTACCTCCACTAATTTGGTATACATAAGGTTTAAAATGAATTTTTAAAAATGAAAAAGGTTTCATTTTAGCTTTAATTGAACACTAAAGGATTTAAAATTTACTATTTCCAGTAAGTAAAATACTCTGTGGTGTATTTCAAATAGAAATTATATTAATCAGAATTGATTTTTTTTTTCAGTAAAATCAAACTAAATGGCCATTTT